ATACCATTTAGGAACAGCAATCTTGCTTCCTTGTTACAGCGCACTTCTCCAGGTCGGTTAGCTCCCCCTGGGTGTTCCACCATAATGTGTCTAAGGTTGCAAGCATTGACCTGGTTGTCTGCGCATGCATTTCCTAAGTTCTGTAAGGTTGCTGTGTTGGCATTTTCAATGCTAGTTGTGGCTGCAAATTTTTGCTGGCCACTCAGGCTCCCCTTGGGATAGTTCGGAGAGTTGTCAGATTGCCCGGGTTTTTCTCTCCATTAGTTGGTTTGCCCACCCCTCAATTGTGACACTGCTTGGGGACATCCCTGTTTGGTAATGGATCTTGTCTCCAAATATCACCCAAACCGTACTCTCCGCTCCTCGCCTGACCTCCTGCTCTCTAGCTCCCTTGTCTCCTTCTCCTATACTCTTCTTCAGGACTTCTCCAGAGCTTCCTCCATCCTCTGGAACTCTCTACCCCAATTTATCAGACTATCGCCTACTCTGCTCACTTTTAGGCGATCTCTGAAAACCTATCTCTTCAGGAAAGCCTATCCTGCCCTCAGCTAATAATTGAATATTCTACCCTTCCTACTAGTCCATCCCCCACAGTTATTACCTTTTGTACAACTAGCCCCTCCCTCCTAGATTGTAAGCTCCAAGGATCAGGGCCCTCCTAAACCTCATGTATTGAACTGTATTGTTGCTGTATTGTCTCCCTTATATTGTAAAGCGCTGAGCAAACTGTTGGCGCCATATAAATCCTGTATAATAATAATAAAGAAGGGGATGTGTGCGTCAGTGTATGGATGAGAAAACAGGATTTATTGGTACTCGCTCTGTGGCATTTTCTCCTTTTGACACTGCTTGTGCCTAACTGGAGACCTGTAGCAAAGAGGGGGTTTTATTCCCGGAGAGGACTGCCTATAGGAGGTGCCGAGTATTTTTGTGCTTAATGTCTTACTCCTGTAGGTGGGGCTATAAAACCCTGTTTGGTAATGGATAAAGAGGCTGTGTTCACTAATCAATTCAGAGAAAGGGGCGAGTAACAAAAAATCCTGTTTTTGCACTCTCCAGGTTTAGTAACTAACCCCCCCTGTGTATTGTTCCCGTGACATTGATTTTATGGTTGCATTGCTGTGCAAGGCTTCAGTGCAAACATTCAATAAATACACTTTTTAAAACTGATTTTATTGAAAAAGGAGATACATACATATTACAGAAATAAAACTGATATAAGAACGTCTCGATATATCAAAGTTGTATCCAACAGGAGATACGTACACTAAATATGAACGGTACACATAGCTATCCAGTGTATTAACAGCGCTGCATAAATACATGCGTGGATATGTATCTTAGTCGTTCGTAGAGGACAACTTTAACCCCTCGCCTACCGGGCCTTTACACACCCCCTTCCTGCCTACAGGGCATTTACACCCCCTTCCTGCCTACCGGGCCCTTACACCCCCTTCCTGCGCAGGCCAATTTCCAGCTCTCAGCGCTGTTGCACTTTGAATGACAATTGCGTGGTCATGCAACACTGTACCCATATGAAATTTTTATCATTTTTTTTTGTGACAGACCTTTATTTTGGTGGCATTTAATCACCTCTGGGTTTTTCATTTTTTCTTAAACCAAAAACCGCTGAAAATTTTGAAAAAAAAATTTTTTTTTTCTTAGTTTTTGTTGTAAAATTTTGTAAATAAAGTGATTTTTCTCCTTCACTGATGTGCGCTAATGAGGCTGCAGTGATGGGGCACTGATATGTGGCATTGATGTGAACTGGTACTGGCACTGGCAGGTGGCACTGTTCAGCACTGGCAGGTGGCACTGTTCAGCACTGGCAGGTGGCACTGTTCAGCACTGGCAGGTGGCACTTCTGGGGCCACACTGATCATCAGGGCACACTGATCATCAGTGCCCTGATCATCAGTGTACATGTCCCCTCCGCGGAATGCCGATTACCGGCTCTCCTCTCCCCTTGAGCTGTCAGCGTGACCGCGCGTGAGGAGAGAAATGCCGATAATCGGCATTTCCCTGTTTACATGTGATCAGCTGTGATTGGACACAGCTGATCACCTGACTGAGCCGGCATCTTCGGCTCTTTTCGTAGATCGGTGATCCGCTGTGTCCGAGGGACACAGTGCACCACCGATCGCCGCGCTCCGGGAGCCGCGCATGCGCAGTGAGAATGGGAGGACGTCATATGACGTCCTCCCAGAACGAGAGAACCACCTTGCGTCTGTCAGTGGACTATATGGCGGGAGGGGAGTGGTTAAAACTAAACAAACCAGAGTAAGTAAAGTAGTTGAATCCCCACTTTAGTATGAAAGGAAAACAAGTCTCTTCACCTGAAACAGTCATATCTCTGAGCCCATAGAGTCATCACCACCATTGTCAACCCAACAGTACATGCTGGAACTTCAACCTCACTTTCTCAAAAGAGTGTGGGCCAAATCGTAGAGCAAAACTAGTTCCATAGGAATTATCTGCTATTTTGGAGGGTCAGAAATTAGTTGTAACATATAATCACTCATATCCTGTGTGCAGCCGCAGTCAAATTCACTTTTTTTTTTTTCTTTAATTAATGTGCATGCATTTATTACATTTCTTGTGGATTATGCCTTTTTAGGGCATTTCCTATTTCGGAAGAAATACTGGTTTTATCTGACTGTTGCGGTGTAGATAGTAAACACTATTTTTGGTACAGGTAATTGGTGCTTTTTCAATCATAAGCTTGCCTAGTATCCTTTTAGGCTGTATAGCCATAGCAAAAGTAGAGTGGGGCAGCACAGTGGCTAAATGGTTAGCACTTCTGCCTGGCAGTACTCGGGTCGTCGATTCGAATCCCAACCACGGCACCACCTGCCTGGAGTTTGCATGTTCTCCCTGTGCCTGCGTGGGTTTTTCCGGGTACTCCGGTTTCCTCCCACACTCCAAAGACATGCTGGTAGGTTAATTGGCTCTTGTTTAAATTGTCCCTAGTATGTGTATGTATGAATGTGAGTTAGGGACCTTAGATTGTACACCCCTTGAGGGTTAGGGACCTTAGATTGTACACCCCTTGAGGGTTAGGGACTGATATATGTACAATATATATGTAAATTGATGGCGCTATATAAGTACCTGAAATAAATAAGTCTGCCTGAGAATGGAGAAATGTTCCTGTTCCAAAGATTTTTCAACAAGCGGAAAATAAGTTCTAGATCCAGTAGAAACAATTGTGACAGACCTAAATAGCACAGATCTTTACCTGAGCATCCTATTGGGCCATCATATCAGGGGTGGCATTATGAGAGTTTGGTTTTGTTAAATCGCAGTAATTTGTGTGTTTCAATGAGATTACTAAAACATGGGTGCAAGTCTTTCCAGCCTAGACACCCCTGTTCACAAATGTATGCATTGCATTAGAGGTTTAGTTCACCTTTTACCAAAAAGTGCAAAATTTACACAGGATCTCTCAGCTCTGAAATGAAGGGGGTGGGGGGATGAAGTTAAACAAAAGCTGGTAATACACTATACAATTTTCTGGGGCAGCACAGTGGCTATTTATATATTATATATATATATCTCCTGTATAATAATAATACCAAGTGAAGTGACTGGCCTCAGGCGATACACAGAAATGAAGCAAATTGTCGTACAAAAGTTGTACTAGTTCATCTGCAGCACTCTTTCCTCTACATTCATTCAGAGTCTAAAATTTGAAAAGCTCGTCTGAGCTTTCAAAAATGGGGATAGAGAACTGAAACTACAAGCTGCAATACTCAGTGAGGAGAGCGGATTGGAGAAAAGGGACACACAGGATCAGAGCTGAGGCAATCAATCACAGGCTGTGTGCCGCAGCTCCTTCCCCTGTCACCTTTTTTCTCTCTTGGTGTCAGTAAAACTTGTCAGAAGTGATTCATGTTAATAGCAGAGGAACGAGGCGGCAGACAGAAATGATACTTAGTGCTTTGGATAGAGGCAAGTACACGCTTTAGAGGGAATTGCTTTGTTCATATTTCATGTCTGAGATTTACAACCACTTTAGGACTTCAGTTGTGTTGTAGAAAGGTAGAAGGGAGTGTAGACATTTGAGACGTGCTGGATTTACTCTAAGCTGAGAGGCTGGATGCTTGTGAGATTGCTTTCTAAAGTCCATGTGTAGAGTCGGACAGCAGCAGCGTGAATCCTATTACATAACCGGAGTGTTGGGGACACATTCATTCTCCTATGTAGATGTCTTGTGGGTGGTCAGGAATGATTAGCTGTGAGTGTTTGCCTGTGAAACAGAGTGAATGTGGTCTAGTATGGTGTTTGTGGTTCACTCTGGTCTATCTGCAAAGCTCTTCAGCCACCAGCATTATGCTGAAGTAGCGAAGTTCAGCCCTTGTGCATGTAAAACATTCTGGTTCTTCGTTGTGATTACATCAGGAGTGATGTGTTTTAGTGCTGGGTGAGGACATGTAATTACATGATATGCAGTGTACTCTTTGACTGGTGACAGGTTTATGGCGTGCCTTTTGTTCTATTTTAGCGATGTTGTTTTTTAAAGCGGACTTGTCACCCGCACACAACATTACGTCAGACCGATGTGAGCACGCAACATACACGGAGAGTGGTGAAGGAAATCCTCTAGTGAGAGATGCCATTGCTTACCTTTCTGAAAATGCTATTTGCCTGGCAGTTTCTGACTTCTGTTTAATTTCATTCTACAGCCTAGACCCCCCCAACTTCCTGGTGTCAGTGTTGACATCAGCAACCTCACAAGTGTACTGAATGCTATTGTAGCCCACCCAAAAACGTCCACTAATAATATGGTGCATATATATCGCCATCAATTTACACAGCTCTTTACATCTATATTATATCATTCATATACATTCCCCGCCCACAAGGGACTTACAATCTAAAGTCTCTAACTCACATTCATACATATATTAGGGCCAATTACCGTATTTTTCGCTCCATAAGACGCACTTTTTTTCCCCTCAAAAAGGGGGGAGAATGCTAGTGCGTTATGGAGCAGCCGGTCCGGTATTTCCGTCGCCGACACCATGTCAGAATACCGGGCCGACCGCTCAGCTCTTCTCTGCAGCAGGACCATACCTGTTCCTCGGTCCAGCGCTGTACAGTCTTCCCGCGCCAGCATCTTTAGTGTGGGAACCTGGCTGTGACAGCCTGGTACCCACTGCGCATGCGCAAGAAGCGCTGTGCTTTGTGAATGGCCCGGCGTCTTCTGGGACCTGTCATGTGGCCATTCACAAAGCGCAGCGCTTCTTGCACATGCGCAGTGACAGCCGGGTGCCCACACTAAAGGGAGGACAACTCCGCGGAAGTGGGAGCGGGTACCTGTCAAATTCAGGTACCCGGTCCCCCTCCCTCCCCAAAGGTCCACAGTCTCTGGTCATCTCCTGTACTGTCGGCAGTCTCTTGGTCATATCCTGTAATATGTCAGCAGTCTCTGGTCATTCCCTGTACTGTCCACAGTCTCTGGTCATTCCCTGTACTGTCCGCAGTCTCTGGTCATTCCCTGTACTGTCCGCAGTCTCTGGTCATTCCCTGTACTGTCCGCAGTCTCTGGTCATTCCCTGTACTGTCCGCAGTCTCTGGTCATCTCCTGTACTATGTCCGCAGTCTCTGGTCATCTCCTGTACTATGTCCGCAGTCTCTGGTCATCTCCTGTACTATGTCCGCAGTCTCTGGTCATCTGTCCTGTACCGTGTCCGCAGTCTCTGGTCATCTCCTGTACTGTGTCCACAGTCTCTGGTCATCTCCTGTACTGTGTCCGCAGTCTCTGGTCATCCCCTGTACTGTGTCCGCAGTCTCTGGTCATCTCCTGTACTGTGTCCGCAGTCTCTGGTCATCCCCTGTACTGTGTCCGCAGTCTCTGGTCATCTCCTGTACTGTGTCCGCAGTCTCTGGTCATCTCCTGTACTGTGTCCGCAGTCTCTGGTCATCTCCTGTTTTGTGTCCGCAGTCTCTGGTCATCTCCTGTACTGTGTCCGCAGTCTCTGGTCATCTCCTGTACTGTGTCCGCAGTCTCTGGTCATCTCCTGTACTATGTCCGCAGTCTCTGGTCATCTCCTGTACTATGTCCGCAGTCTCTGGTCATCTCCTGTACTATGTCCGCAGTCTCTGGTCATCCCCTGTACTGTGTCCGCAGTCTCTGGTCATCTCCTGTACTGTGTCCGCAGTCTCTGGTCATCCCTGTACTGTGTCCGCAGTCTCTGGTCATCCCTGTACTGTGTCCGCAGTCTCTGGTCATCTCCTGTACTGTGTCTGCAGTCCATTGGTTCATAATATTTTTTTTTCTTGTTTTTCACCTCTAAAACCTAGGTGCGTCTTATGGAGCGGAAAATACGGTAACTTACCAGTGTGTCTTTTTTTGGGGGGTGGGATGAAACCAGAGTACCCGAAAGAAACCCACGCAGGCTCAGGGAGAACATGCAAACTCCAGGCAGGTAGTGTCCTGGTTGGGATTTGAAAACCGATCACCTTAGTGCCGGCAGGCGGATGTGTTCACCTTTAGCCACTGTGCTGCTCACCTAAATCTCATATATTCTATATTATAGGTATTTATAGCACTGACATTATATAATACATTCACACCGTCCCTGCTGCAGTATAATACTTTTTGACTATTGAATGGTTTGCTACAAATTCTACTATATAGCATTTAGCTACTGTATTTAATGGATTGCATTTGATGTAGATACCTGTATCCTAGTAGCTCCAGAGTTGCATGTTTGCCGCTGCTAGGATAGGTGGTTTAATTATAGGTGCTGACACTCCAGCAAAAATTCCCTTTCCTGCAACAATACTGTTGTGATGTTTGGGAAGTTTTGTGTTCCCCTATCACCCAATTAGTTTTTGTTAGCACTGGCCACACACCCACCTTCACCCCCCCCATCATTACCCAATTAGCTTCCATTACAACAGGTCACATGGCCACTCCCAATGTGTTAGGAATGCCATGTCCTACCAAGCCCTATGTCACCAAGTACGCACATGAGACACCATCTAACTCCCACCAGTGGCCACAAGAACTTATTCTGATAAAACTCTGCATTTTGCTGCAGGCTCGGAAATATGAAGATTTCCCTGTGCTTGGCATGGTAAAGAGCGAGCAATTTTTACCAGGGAGATGGTACATTCTGCAATGAACGTTGGTACCACCAACTTAATAGGTGTTTTTGCTTTGCGATCACATGAACACAGGTTGACTTTAAATAATCACGTAACGCCTCCCACTGACACACGGTGGGGCGTAACGCCTCCCATTGATGCACACTTTGGGGCACTATTTCCCCCCCCAATACCACAGATACATTGACTCCCACTGACACCCTGACAATTTCTTCTCTCAATGGCCACAGGCCAGCCCCCTATAGTGTGAAGGCAAGTAAATTGGCCCTTTGTTCAGCAAGTTTGAAGACCTCTGGTGCAGATGAATGGCATAAGATCCCAATTTGAGGGTAACTGAACTCTGAAAGCTGTGCTAAAAGAAAACAAAAACAGGCAGAGGTCAAAGAACTAGTCACCAGTATGAATTGCAGCTAACCTTTTCCCGATTACTGACTTAACCATGCCTTGTTCCAAGCTATGTCTCTGTGTGGAGGTGGCCATCTTTAGTGGCAAGGCTTTGCTTCCTCATGTCGGTGCAAATATAATGGTGACCTGCACAGTAGCAACTATCCCAAATCTTACTTCATATCACCTGAGACTGGCAATGAGTGGCAGCAGTGCCTGAGATCTCACACTGCAGCAACACAGATGTGAGGCTCTAGGCACAAGAGTACCCAGGAACACTCCTATACCTGAAGTATACTGCTACAGGCGTACCACGGTTTACGAATTTAATGCGTTCTGCGGGACTTTTCGTATTGCAAAAAATTCATAAACCAAAACGCGGTTTCATAGGAATGCATTGAAAACCAATTAATCCGTTCTGGAGGTCAGAAAAAAAGTTAAAAAAAAAAAGTCTTATCTGTTCAAAACTCTTTCTGAAGTGCACTTTAAAGGCATAAAGGGACATGATTAAACAAAAATTCGTAAATGCATTGAAAACCAATTAATCCGTTCATATTGCAAAAACAATTAATAAACAGTCATTATTTTCCATGGATTTTCATTCGTAAACCGAAAGTTACGTTTTACTGAGGCATTCGTAAACCAAGGTACGCCTGTATTTTTAGGGGTAATCCCAAACAGAAATGTTTCAGGGAACAACTTGGGTACAAATAACACTTGTAGACAGGGGCGGACTGACCATTTGGAAACTCGGGCACTGCCCGAGGGCCCGGGGTCAGTAGGGGGCCCCATGAGATGCCCCTGGTACCTTTTTCATAGGCTTTTTTTGAGTTTGGGCAAGGACACAGGGGCCCCATGATCCCCTATTGCCCAGGGGCCCCATGAGTTGTCAGTCCACCCCTGCTTGTAGATGTTCCAATATCCTAGCAAACCTTCACTTTTTGATATGTGATTCTAAAGGTTAAAAAACAAAACAAAAAACCCTCCGATGTCATTCTTACCTGCTCTGTGTAATGGTCTCGCCCCGATCCTCTTTATGGGTGCCTCACCGGCAGTCATGGCTCCACCCTCCTGTCAAATTTGCCCAATAGCAAGCCTTTTGCTATAGAGGCACTCGAGCAGGCTTGCTCCTGAGAATGGGCATTGTCCATTCACACACAGAGCACTGCTCGGCCCCCCCCCCCCCCCCTTTTTTTCTGTTTAAAAGTTTATCGGCTGTGATAGCAGCAGGAGCCAGTAGCTCACCGAATCGAATTGGGCTCAGGTAAGTATGGGGTGGGGGGGGAGGGGGGCTGCAGGGGGAACTGCACCCAGAAGATTTTGGAACCACTTTGAGGTCCACTTTAATTCCAAATTTTTATGCTATGTAGTGTGGAATAGTTTATGCAGCCCCCTCCACAAACCTTCACAATTCACCTAACAGTGTATAGCCAGCTTTACTCTATGAAAAAAAAAAAAAAAGTTTGGGTGTAAATAGACCAAATCTAACTTTTTTTTTTTTTTTTTAAGTTTTTGGCTTGAGTGGGGAAGGTTTCGAAACTGTTGTGTTTATATTGCTGTCTGTCCCCAATTAAGGCATTTTTTCTCTTGCTATTTCTCCAGGCAACAGTGTTCAAAATAAATGAACGAGTATCCACAGTGAGGGATACACCGTAAAAAAAAAAAAAAAAAAGCTGACAGGTTCTTCCCCCCACTAGCCAAAAAAAGGAAAAGAAAACATTTTGGCTAAAGTTGCGCTTGACTAGTACCAGCTTTCATCTGTTCAAGTGGTGTTAAACCCAAAGTCAAAAATGTCAGTTTTGCAGCTTACCAATCATTAGATGTGGTGACTGCATTAGTTTTCATTTTTTTGGCTTGTTTCCCCTCTGTTTTCACCTGGTGATCTGGCTTCTAACACACTGGTCTCCATTCTGGATAAAGGAACAGAGGGACACAGCAGCATTGTCAATCTTGGGGGAGGGAAGTGTTGGACCAGCAGATTTAGATACACTAACAAATTGAAGCCAAACTGCAGCTCACATTGCAGTTATGCAAGCATTCACAGCAATAGTTTTTCTTTTCGAATAAAGGATTTGCATGAATAAATAGAAGCTGGTCATTGTAAGCACCCCTGTCAGTGGTAAATGATTTATCTCAGCCCTCTGATATATTTCAGGAAAGCTTGTTCTTTTCAGAAACAGACTTGCTGGATCACCAGATGAAAATTAAAGGAAAAAAAAAACCTAACCCCCCCCCCCCCCCCCCCCCCTCAATGCAGCCATTACTTGTAAGAATTGGTAAGCGGAAATGTTTCCTTTAGGGTTTATTACTGCTTTCACCTCAGTAAACTCTTTTTGTCTGAGATTTGTAAACGTATTGAGGTTTCCTTTTGATACGTCTCAAAGCTTAGAAAACTAGTAATACAGATTGTATTTGTGTGGAAACCCAGAATTACTATGATTTTGATAATGGGGGAGAGAAATACTTTTTTTTTTTTTTTTTTTTTTCCCCCCAGTAGTGGCATACCTATGCAGGTTAAAAAATCTATTGGGTACCTCCAGCCTTCCTGGATTTTCAGCATGACCGGACAGGGCAAATTACATGTCATTAGCAGAGCTTAGTGGTGTCTGCACTTCCCGCTTTGTTCTGCTTTCCACGTCTTTCCCTTATCTCTCATTTAGGAGTGTTTGAGTGTGTATTACGTTTACATCCTCTTCTGATTTTTTTTTTTTTTTTTTTTTTGTGGCGGTAGATGCATTCTATGCACTCAAACAAATAAAAGAAAACAAGTTGATACAGTTTAGTTTTGGATAAAGTTAACCACTGCAAGACCTCCCTATAGTAGTTGTACTGCTACAGGGTGTCCTGTGCAAAATCACGTGTGTGTGTGTGTGTGTGTGTGTATAGATAGATAGATATGTGTGTGTGTATATACAGTTGCAAGAAAAAGTATGTGAACCCCTTGGGATTACGTGGAGTTTTTTGCATGAATTGGGCATAAAATATGCTCTGAACGTCATCTAAGTCACAACAATAGAAGAACACAGTCTGCTGAACATAATACTACACAAACATTAGATGTGCCATGGTTTCATTGCACATAACATGTAAACATTCACAGTGCAGGGGAGGAAAAAGTATGTGAGGCCCTACTTAATGACTTCTCCCAGA